CACGAGAACCATAAGTAGCCACCCTCCAGAAGGAAGGACAGTGTCCGCACCAATTCAGAGATGATTTGAGGATCTACAGCTGAGTGGTGCACAGAAAAGCTACATTTATGTAAATAAGGTATTTAGTGTCACTTTAAGCCTTCATTTTGGTTTGATCGTAGTAGTCCTGGTAGACATGTTGCATTGTTGCACAGCATGTCACATTATAACACATTGTGCTGCTGCACATTATTTACAGCAACATTGAAGTTTAGAAAAAAAAAAATAGAGCACTGCAATTCGTGTTACCAGCTCAGCACAGTGCATGTTGAACCACACTTAAACATATGCACATTATGCGGAAAGTGACTGTGTTGTATGCATGGCTTTAGTGTGTGTGACAGAGAAAAGAACTTCCTATAACACCTTGTGTTCCATTCTTATAAAAATGATGTACATGCAATTCTAACAGCAGCTTGTATAGCAATGTATTAGATCTGCACTTAGATTGCATTATTATAGCCATTTTGGCAGCAGCGCAGTTACCGTAATCTTCTGCCATATTCTGCCTTTTTCCCCTCTTTATTATGTAAACATTAGCTGTAATATTGCAGCAGGAGGCAGGTCTTTGGCAGCCATATATTATTTTGGTAAGCCTCCATAGAGGGAACAGTTTACAATTTCAGCAGCTGTAACATGTTTAAACTCAGTTTGTAATGGGATCTGAGGATGAATATTCCCCATGGGCTCTGTTTAGCTTCATTACTGGCAAGCTGCCAATCCTTGGACTAGAGAACATTATTCTCATCTCTTAACACATGCAATGTCAGAGCATGCTCTGTTAATACATTTTTATTTTCAGAGATCGCTCTCCTAAAATACTGTTTTGTCGCACTTGTTGAGCGGCTCTGAAACATTGATCTTGCAATACAAAAAACTCCAAAATGTTCCTACAGTTATGTGTGCGGAACAACACATATGTTTTGTCATTAAAGTTGTTGCTCTCTCTGTAACATAAAGTAGGAATGTAACTGCAGCCCCATGCAAAGCCATTATGGACCCCAGGATAACCTGCTCCGGCAGGATTTAGTAGCTGCCCTAAAACCATTAAATACATCTGTCCTAATATCGCATACATTCGTAAGAAGCCTTCAAAGTGACCATTTTCTGACCCTGGTTGTATATGGATCCTGGGACAGCACAGCACAAGTTTAGCTTCAGAGAGAAAGAGATAGGTGTCCTAAACCTAGCAAAGCATCAGGGGTTAGAGTTGGCCATACCAGTTATACAGTTTCAGTATAGATGCCCTTTAAAGTGTATGTCAGGGCAAATGTACATTTCCTTAAGTTTTGTCTCCTAAAATATGTTTCAAGTGCAGAAAATACTTGTCAATCTGCATGAAATCCAATGAGCTTCTAACTGCCTGTAGTGAGCTGACAATGTTGCCTATACTGCGTTGAAATTCCAGCCCAGTCCTGTCCATTTTTCCCCTGCTGGAATACTGAACACCTCCCCAACTGTATAACATAACAGCGAGGTGTCCTGAAGTTCTTTCTTGCTGGAATACAGAACACCCTTTTCCCCATTTTTCACCTCATGACATAAGGGGCAGTTGTGTTGTCATCTAGCAAAGTAGAGCTGAGAACACTGTTTGAATTTCAGTTTAGCAGACAACACCTATATTATGAACAAAATGCTTCCGCATGTCAAAGTTTGTAATTAGATGAGTTTGGGTCACAACAATGAAATAGTCGCTCCAACTGGAGATGACCAATACACCACTTTTATACTTTCTAAGTATTGTTATACTTTTACATACTTGATAATATTACTTTAACGTATTCATCTTAGAATTGTGACTCAAAAGCCATAGGACTCTGGTGTTCCCAAAACTCCTAAAAACACTGTTTTACCAGCTCTTTAAAGTTTAATCAAAATGGCAAAAACAATTACTATGGTATACTGTTTACTACAGTGATCCACAGAGGCTAAAAATGAAAAATAACCTAAAGAAAAGGGCTACTTTCATTACAGAATATAATGAAAACACACATCTAGAGGAGCCCCTGATGTCATGGGCCTGGAACATCAGAATTACCTACAATTATTTCCTGCCATGTCCTCCATAGCAGACTGGTATTTAAACCCTTAAAATGTATGTCCAGGCAAAATCTATTTTTTCACTGTTAATAGAACATTCCTCAATATGGACTTTTATATAATTCGCAGTTTGTCTCAGTTTTATGTTCAACTGGATCCTCCCTTTCTGCAGCACTTACATTTGAGGGCTGACACACTGCCACTTTATTCCCTCAGTCCCAAAATGAGAGCTTCATTTGTTGCAGGCACTGCCTCCTGGTAATATGAGTGGCACACATGTCCCCCCACTAGCCCTGCAGGAAGCGATAGCAAGCAGAGACTTAGGAGTCCCATGACCGCATTAAAACTGGTAATAAAAGTTTTATCCTCAATATTTTAAATAAATGAATTGATAGTGATGTTGGACTATCCATGCACTTCACTTCCATGTATTTATATGTATTCCCTAGACATATACTTTAAGCAAAAACACACTTCCATAGAATTGGCAAAATGTAAGCAGAGCTTTACTTCCAGTAAATTAATTTGTCTTTAAAACAACAGAATGTTCTCTGTAGCAGCACTCATATTTTGAAGTCATTGAGTTGTGCATTAATCCCACAGTGAGTCATTAATCATGCCAAATGCATTTGGAGGCAGAAGAAAAAGAGAAAGATCATCATTGAAGTTGAAACCGAGATTGTAATATAATCCATCTCTCCTAATTATAACACAGTTATGTTCTCCTTTAAGATCAAGAACGAAGAAACGACTGCAAAACAGATTATAAAAAAGAACATTGTTTGATGTGTCATCTATTTGTCAGAGATTTCAGTTGCGTACACAAAATAAAGTTTAATTGTGATTAACACAATGTTATGTTGGAAATCTTATTGTGATGTTTGTGGCGTGTTCTCATTGCTTATGTTTTGGCTGATGATTTGAGAGGACATATTATTGTCAGATGTTATTGTCCTTGTTTTCTGGATGACAGTGTTGTATGTTAAATATTAAAATGCACATTTATTTTTATAATACGCTGGGCCTCATGTTAGGACATCCGGGAACTTAAATAAAACCTGTAGGCTGCCAATGCTGAAAATGCAACTTGCCTTGTCATCATGTTAATTCTTTGTCTTTATTCATTTCTCAATTGCTGACCTGGTATAAGCATTGAGATGAGAACCTCTGACTCCACTGTAACTTTCCTTCTGCATACTTGTACTGGTTCAGGAATTAGGACATTTTTAAAGTGAGACATAATCAGATGGCTAGAATCTTCAGAAGCTGATCAGTATGGCAGATCATGTATCTCTCTCTTGACAAGTCCTGTCTGTGATGCCACTATTGGCTAAAAATAGGAATTGGATTAGCTTTTTTTTCAATTTTATCCCTGCATTGGAAAAATGTCAATTTGGAGTCAATTGTAACTATTTTAATGCAGACTTACTACACAAGGGTCTAAAAAAAATAAATAAGAGGATCCCATAAGGGTAGTACTGGGGAACCACATAGGGTTTAAGGTTTTCATGAAGGAGTAGGGATCCATGTTCCACTACCAAACATCTGGGCATCACTGTAGGGACACACCAAAAGAATGTTTACCTGTTTGAAATGACGCAAAGTAGAGGTCGACCATATTTTTTTGGAACCGATACTGATTATTGGCCACCTTTCAGACCAATAGCAGATATCGGGTACCGACATTCTGTTTACATGCAGCCACCTGATATGGTACACACCCCCCCCCGCCATGAGAAAGTTCTCCTTCCGGTCCTCCTCTGCTCATTGACAGCAGGCAATGAGCGGGTGCAATAGCCAGCCTGCTATTGACTTTTGCAATTTGAAATTGCCAATAGCAGGCTGGCTATTACTTCCCTTGCCATTTGCTGGGGGGTTTGTTTTCTGTATACTGACAGCGGCTGGCGGCCACTGTCAATACCCCAACAGACCCGGCAGCTCTATGGCTACCAGCTTTGTTTCTAGGTAGAGTTACTGACCGGCTCCTTCGATTAGCTGATCGAGGGATGCTGGCTAGACAGGTGAACCCACTGTGCGAATTTTACTCTGAAATTTGCAGTCTTAATTATCGGTACATTTTGTCAAGACTGATAAAATCGGTAGATCCGATAATTAGTCGATCCCTATAGCATGGTATTGAACCCACTGGTGTTAAAAATGCAACCGAAAGAGATTCCATTGGTGTTGGAGATGTGACAGGGAACACAACATAGATTGCATTGGTGATAGAACATGGAGTGATTCCTTTGGTGATGCCAATGAGGCCATCAAATTCATGACAGGGGTAGTGATTGGTGTGGTCTAAGAGGAAAGGTAAATTAATAACATGTCAATACCGTATATGAAGGTTCGTGACAGATGAACTGTGGCCAGGTGACACTATAGCTGTATGAGAGGCAAGGTTTTGATTAAAGAGCTCCTTCAGAGTACAATGGGAGATAACGAGGGCTGGTGCTGACAGTCTTTTTCTAAACAGTTTAACCAGTATATCCCACTTAAACGTAACCCAACACCAATACTCATTTAACTCATAAACTCATCACCATGTCGTCACAGGGTTCATTTAGAGAATCTTTACTCAATAAATTGTTCACTTTGAATACCCAATCATGAGTAGATACAAAAGACAGGATTAGTGAAGTGAAGATTCTCAACTTCTTTAGTAAATCGGTCTCTTGGTGTCAATGGTACAAACACTAGTTATCCTTTTTGCAGTAAATTCTCTGTTTGTATTTGGTTTTCCTGTGAAGAGAAAACAAATAAACATTTCAAAATAAATTGGTAGTAATATTTCCACTGTGTATTGAAATGAAGCAGAACAATCCTAAAAGATTACAGGATGTGAAAATACTTTGATGTGTACGTTCAATAACTCTTCAAAAATATGAATAAGTAACTAATCTTCTTTCTTAAATCTATAGATTAATCCTTCCGTATGAAAGGTTTCTCAAAGGAGAGGAGGACAAGCCGCTACCTCCTGTGAAGCCTCGGAAACCTGATGCCAATTTTCCGGAGGCGGAGGCGAAAACCAAAATGTGCAGCAAAAAAGGAGTTAGGCATGAAGGTCCAAAGACAAAGAAGGAAAGGGATGCTGCTGCTAAAGCTGAGGAAGCAGAGGTAACTGTCTATTCCCTCAATCATACAAGTAACAAGCAGGTGGCACTGTGGGAGGAATCTGAAATTGTACCCTTTGATCCTGGCAAAACTCTTCAGCTGTTGGGGAAATTAGGGTATCTATACATGGAGTCCAACTGTTACATAATATGGATAATCCCAATACAATTTTTGGACATTCTGATCTGTGTAAAGTGATCTCAACCAATCAGTTTTATAAGCCGGTGGTGTGCGAATAAGCAACTAATCCCATTAGGAGCCCTGGCCAACATGCACTGCCCTTTGGATGTGTATATTAGGTGATATTTTTCTTCCTAGACTGACTTGTGGCTAATGGAAAGATCAGAAGTACTGGAGTATAGGCTGCAATATATGGTGGTTGAGGGAGGGGGCTGAACCAGATGATGGCTTGCCGTTCAAATTATTAAACTTCACCTTTACATAATCTGATTGCTATGACCAAGCCAGTGTTCTTGAAGTTTTCTCCTCAAAGGCTTCAGGAGTCTTTCTTTCTTGGCAAAAGTGGCTTGTAGCACTGCCTGTTAAACACTAGAAGACAGCTGGTGTTATGTTATGATGATTTATTTTTCTTTAGTCATTATATTTGACAGAAAATGACATTTCATTTTGGTGTTTTGTATGAAATGTAATGTACATTTATAAATAATAGCAGAGCAGTTAAATAGTATACAGCCAAGTACTGGCTGTACTTTCTATATGAATAAGAAATGTTACAGAGAAAAAATCATTTCCAAAAGAAAGAAGCTCAATAAATATTGTTTATGAATTTTGGTTGGGTCTTATTTACAGAAAATAGAACATATTTCTGTAAGGGACAATTCATCCAAAAAGCATTTAGTCATTGTGTGATGTTAAAGTAGACCTCCTGTTCAAACCTTTTTGTACCAGTTGGGATTTTTTCTAATCTAATCATTTTTTGTAGCCTGTTCCTGTTACCATTAGCAACAATTAATGGGATTTTGCCTCTTTTGATCCTTGATATTCGAGTTGTCAATGCAAAAAAGGTGTTAACTGACCCACTGTTTTTTAAATATGGCAAATACATTTATTTGAGATATGTTAAATATATGTAAAGTAAATAGTATATTCTAGAGGTGCACTGAAATTAAAATTTTAAAACCGAAATGCAAAAAAAAATGTCTGGCCAAAACAGAAAAAAAAATGTCAAACTTTTTCAAATATTTTATTTATTTTTATAAACTTTTTTATTTTTTTATATTTGTTATATTAAATATTTTAATTTTTTACTTTTGGGTGCTTCTGGGAAATATTAGCGATCTAAACAGACCATATATTTACAAACACTCACTGATCACTGATCTCTGAATGTTTGTACTCGCTCTCCTTCCTGACAGCTGTCACAGGCTGAGCGAGCGGTGCGGGAGGAGATCTCAGCCTCCTGTGACAGCGCTGGCTGTCTCTGCCCAAACACCTCTCTGCCAATCTGTGACAGGAGGCTGAGCAGTGCGGGGAGGAGAGTCGCCGTCCGCTCACAGCGCTCGGCTGCCTGTGACACTTTCTCTCCTCCCCGCTGGGACACATAGCAGAGCCCAGCGGGGAGGAGAGAAAGAATGGATGCACCGCTATATCGGCCCGAAAAATTGCACTTTCGGGATTTAGCCAAAGGTGCCATTTTCGGCCGATATATCGGTCCATCCCTAGTATATTTCTCAGTGAAAGTATTAACCATAGTACCAATATACCCATATAAGTACAATATATCATGTGCAAATGATCATTTTAATACCGCTCGGCACATATATACAAGTTTATAACATTTATATTAAAACATCTCATTTTATTGTTTCATTAAGAATGATGAAAACATTGTTTTATTGTATTAAAATGAGAAGTAACATTTAAATGCCCTCATCCCTTCATATTGCTTTTAAGTTCTAATATTATGAATGCATTGACCCATTATGTATTTAGCATCTCAGTTCAGTAAATTAATATAGGGGGATATGGAGAAAATATTCTCAACACGTTTCTTGGATCAGAAGTCTGCTTCATCAGTAGATGATTAAATGAGCTAATAATTTGAAAATATCAAAATCATGCGGTGTAAATAATTCCATAAACAAACACAGCTGAAGTTGTGCACAATGTCATAAACTTACACAACGTAATTGATCCTCGCTCAGCCACATGTATAACAATTGTGTTGTCAAACTTCAGAGGCAACAAGAAGCTGTGATGTGAACTTTTATTACCATGTTTTAGTGTTAACATCTTAAAGTAAATGAAATCTCTTTATAAAAGAGGATAATCATGTGATCATGTGCATGCTTGTGAAGAGATAGCAATTCCTTTCATGGGCATAAAACTTTTGTACTTAACATAGGATGTTTTCTTAGCATGTGAATAGTGAAGGGGATGTTTAATTTGCATCAGAACATTGAATACAGATGTAAAAGATAAATCTTTAAAAGCTGCATTCTTTATTCTGAAGTTCATCATGTTCTTAAAACTCTGTCTTAAGTAGGTTATTCTTGATTGCTCAAAGGAACGTCTGAGAAAAATTGTTGAAGTATAGTAAGTAATGACAGTCTTGAGCAGCAAAGATAAATATAGAATCAGGTTAAGCAGCACAACAAACATTTGTTTAAGGAAAGAACAAAAACTTTCAACATGTTGCATAACAAGATGGTTTCAGAGCTGTATCTCTAATTTATTTAAGCACACAGGCTCAAAATGTAAGGCTATAGAAAATAATATTTAAAGCCTTTGTTGTGCTGATTACAGCCACATATTTTTTTATATAAATATTCAGCATACTGAGTGTGCGGTCAATAGACCGGCTGGTCATAGCAACCAATCAGAAATCATATTTTATTGGTGACATCTAGTTTGTTGGGGAATTGCGGTGCATTAATAGTCCAACTATTCATCAAATAGCATGTACATTGTTCATCTAAATGCTCAGATTGTATTGCATACATATTATACAGTTATCCAATAATGAAACTCTCTTTCTCCTTAGTGTTGTTCCCATTTTTTATGGGGTTGGTGTCCCCAAGACTTTACTTTATGGTCATTTTGTAATGTTTTGTATGTTAAAAAAAAACAACTTTGAAATAATTCACCATGCCTTGGCCAGCTGCCCAATGCTTGGAGCCCTGTGACTTTTTGCCCCTCTTGGAGCCCATCATGAGCGTTGCTGAGGCACTTTAGTGCCGATGCCCGGTCCGGTTTTGCGGAGCTAAGGACGAGTACGTCTAGCCGCCGCCATTAGCAAGCTCCGCCCCCCCAGCTGCCCAATTTTAATGCCATGATAAACTGGAATAATGAGCATAAACTTTGTATCCACAGTAGGCAGTATTGGCAAAATACAGGTTCACTTAAAAGGCGATTTTTTTTTTTTTTTACATTATTTATATTCTGTGAGCAACAAAGAGGCTGTTTGATTTTAATGAGTGCCTTTTATTGCTAGTTTGTTCATGACTAAACTGTAAGAGAATTTTTAAGTCTTATTTTCTTAGCTACATGCTCCTCTTCAAAAGTTTGCATTAACAGCGACTCTATTAAATTCTCTAATTACTCACCAACCTAGATTTAAACTTCACTTCACTTTTCCACATGTCTCTACTTAATCCAAACATTCCTTACTACATAATTTAAACTGTAGATTAAAAATATATAATAGGTGTCAATTGAACAATTCACAAGAGCTACTATTGAAAAGAAACAAATGGCGATTTTTATTTTTAAATACTACTTAATTCCACCCCCATCTTTCTCCAGCTTTGCTCACCAGTCTGGTATTCTCATGTAATTTAATAAGCTCTAGAGACCGCTGATAAAGCAATACTTATTAAACAACTAATGATGGCATTCTGAGTGAAAAGAGCTGTTATTAGGAAGAAGAAGAAAGAACAGTGAATATATGGGTTAAAAAAAAAAGGATCTTTTCAAAATATTAAAAGACAGGGAAGTGAAAGGATGCAATGTGAAAATGACAGCATCAAAACAGACGTGAATCATTAGCTCTTTTTTATTTATTTGAAAGAAATGACCAACAGTACAGCATTTAGATAATACATTTCTTTGTTTCTCAGTGTCTGTTATCTCGACAAGGGAGGAGAAAATAATAAGATTTCACACAATGATTTAAAATGGCTTCCTCACAAGGGAGAGACAGCAGCCATTGTTAAGGCCTGTCAGCCTGCTGTACTGCAGATAGAATGGGCTGATGACCCTTGGGGTCGGAGGTTACACTAGGACATAATGGAATGAATAGCAGGAATTTCCAACACCGATGTTATCAAATAAGCTGCATAGAACAGATTTAAATCAAAAGAAAAATCATATTGGCATTTTAACTGCACAGATACTTAGACTCATTTTCAATATTAGACACAGTCAGTCTGTGGTAACAACGTAATGAAAGGCATAATAGAACATGTTTATTTTCTGAATGTTTCAATGATGACATTTAGATATTACAAGTTTGTTTTTCACTAGTTTACTTTTATAGGTTCTGATTGCATACCTCTTATTTTACCTCTTCTCAAGTCTCCGGAGCACAGACCTCATTGGTGGCACAGCCACCAATCAGATTGTCCTGAACTGGGAAATGACAGCGAGAGAGTGACGTTAAAGTCTGATTGGTTGCTACAGGGCAGAACAGACAAGAATCCCTAGCCAATTCATGTCGATAAGTTAGCTACAGAGATACATGATCTCTGTAATGAATGTGTTTCCGGTGTTCCTCACTGAAGCTGAGTACTGCTGAAAATGACAAATAAACAGGACTAGGAGTTCTAAGTGGCAGGTTCTTGTGCGGATGAACTTCAATTCAGAAAATATTTCTCTGTTGTAAAATAACTTTTAAATTGACTATTAACTAAAGAAAAGTGCCATAGCAGAGTGCATTGTATCACAGTCTATAGGTATGCAAGTATTCACGAGCAAAGCAACAATCTCAAGCTTAGCAAAACTACAAATAGTGTATGGTAATACAATGATTGGTATTGGCTGAATAAATCTTCCAGCAAACTGGACACTGTAAAGTGTTTAAATTGAAAGTGACACTAACCTAGGGAGTTAAATCTTAAAAATACATTCAAGTACCCCAACTATTTACAAAAATGTATCCTATTTATGTGGGTAGAGCCAAAGGAAATCCCACCGCTCCAATTCCTTAGCCGCCATCAGGACTCCCCAGGTACTGGTCTAATAGGTGCGTCTCCACCTTGAAATGTAGTAGTATACGGAGAGACCGCACTATCCAGAGAATTCCAATACTTCAGACCTTATGGAAATTCACAGCAAATCCAGTATAACAGTGAATAAAGCAATACCAGCACTGCACACCCCCAACCATCTCTGGATAGTTCAGTCTCTTGGCATACTACTTATTTATGTGTGTGTTGTAAAGTAGCCACCGCTCCAAGCTCCCTCCCATGATGGACTACAATCACATGTTTAGTTTAATAATGTGTTGAGATTGTAGTCCATCCCGGGAGTGAGCTTGGAGCGGTGACTACTTTACAACACACACAGGGACCATGGAAAACAAAAGTAGGCACCCTCTAGGGCTGCAACAACTAATCGACATAATCGATTATAATCGATTATTGAAAAAGTTGTCAACTTTTTCAATAATCGATTAATCGGCTTCCGATCAGTTGGCCCTGTTCACAGCTCCACACGCTGTGCGCCACACCTCCTCCCCACCTCACGCTCGCCGCTGCCAGACACGCTCGCATCCACGCTCCACACGCCGCACCTCCTCCCCGCCTCACATTTCCTGCCCATCCACGATCGGCAAGGCACGCGGGGAGATGTAGTAAGGAGGAGCAGGGGTGGGGGGATGACAGCAGCTGATAGACAGGTCCAATCTCAGAAGCAAGTTGCTGGAAGACTGGTCAGGTAAGCCTGCACTTTCCCACACATGGTGCTCTATAATGTATTGCTGGGATTTGTATTTCTCTGGTACATTGTACTGTACATTATACATAGGAATACAAATACCAGCAATGCATTATACACTGTATGTATAATGTATTGCTGGGATTTGTTGTACTCCTCTATAGCTGGTGATATTCTGCATTGCGCTGTATAGAGGACTACAAGTCCCAGCAATAATACATTATACAGCGCAATGCTAAATACCACCAGCTATAGAGGAATACAAAACCCAGCAATAGTACATTATACAGCGCAATGCAGAATGCCGCCAGCTATTGTGTACTATTGCTGGGATTTGTTGTATTCCTCTATAGCTGGCGGTGTTCTGCATTGCGCTGTATAATGTGCTTTTGCTGGGTTTTGTAGTCCTCTATAGAAGGTGCCATTCTGCATTCATTGCTGTATAATTTTACACTTTCCATTTCACTATATTGCACAGCACACTATCTTTTTTTTCTTTTTTACTTCCACCGCTCCAAGCTTGCTCCTGTGATGGACTACAACCTCAATACAAACTAGTAGTCCTATCACTGGAGCCATTTTTTAAACTTTACTTTATTGTTTATCCGATTAACCGATTAATCGAACTTAATAATCGGCTAACTAATCGATTTTGAAAATAATCGTTAGCTGCAGCTCTAGCACCCTCCAGAAGGAAGGACAGTATCGGCACCAATTCAGAGATGATTTGAGGATCTACAGCCGAGTAATACACAAATAAGATACATTTTCATTAATAGTTAAGGAACTTAAATGCATTTTTAAGATTTGACTTTAGTTAGTGTCACTTTAAGCCAAAATTGCTGCATTTGTGGGTGGCATGCACACAGGCAGGATACTACTGGTTTTAAGTGTTATTCAAAACTTTTCCCAGAAATACACGCAGCAAATTTCTTTAAACTATTGTAAAGTTTAGCTGATCTAGTGTTTTGAGGAGTTAGCCATAGATGTTTTTGTAATGCTGACTCAAGTACCCATACGACCATTAAATAAACATTTTAGTTTGTGGTATATTGGTATGAAGAAATTCATATCCTTGGGGCATAGGGCTCATAAATAAAGCTGAATTTCATACAAACCCAAACCAAGCAACTTTACATTTGTCAGCAAAAGAAAAAAAAAAGTATTTCATGATCTTTGATTTTCACAACAGGTTTCTTTATACATTGATCTATTTAGATATTTAACTTGCAGAGCTGGCTTTAACTGACATTGGCAAATACATTTCTTTGAAGGTTGAATAAAAGCTGAGCACATCTTATCTAAGCCTGCCTAAACACCCTATGACCATCAAGGCCCTTCTGATTTTCTTGTGAAATTGTATTGTAACTGTGTGCAGCTCTTTACAATATAAAGAAGCCATTAAACTGTTGGCGCTATATAAATCCTGTATGATGATAATAATTACCTGAAGGGGTAGCATTCTAGCTTTGCTCCAGTAGAAATGGGGAGGAAAATTACAACCGCAGCTATTTCCAAGTGTGATTGGACTGCTGCGCCTTTTTCTCCATTTTAAAGATAAGTTGTTAGTGCAAGTATTTTTGGTTCAGGGGGAATTCCTCAGTAAGACTCATGCAGATCTTTGTTATGCCACTGCCATTAAAGTGACACTTACACAAATACTGCCTAACAAATTTCAAGCACCAGACAGAGCCACTCACAGTGCTTCTAACAATCTCATAGTTCGGTATACAAAGTAGCCACACACCACTGCACGCTTTTATGTCTATTTAAAAAAAAAGCTTTATTGGTCATAGAGGATAACACCTAGAGCCTCCAGTCATCCTCCTATGATGCGGTTTTCTCCCATTCATAATCATAGAGGCCCTAATGCCATGAAACATGTTACAGGGACTTAGATGATGAATAATAAAGCTTGTTTTTAAATTGACACCAAACAAAATGGTGTCAATTTAATGGCTATATTGACTAACTCATAGCGTGCAGTCAGTATAGCATGAACTGATATATAAAGTCACTATAAATAATTCATGCAATAGAATTTTTCCTAATTGCAATATAGCCCTACAACTGACCCTCCATTGACACCCACTTCACAAGTTCAGCACTTGTATGTATGAAACTTAACAGGGTTTCTAAGCAGCATCGGATGCCCGAATCCTATGTTTAACAACTATTTAAAAGTAAACTGTAATGGGTTTTGTGTACAGTTCCAGTTTTATGTAGATTTTATTGTTTACAAGTTTGTAAACTGATTTTTTTTTAAATTTGTACAGCACATTCTTTATTTTCCAAAAAAAAGAAGAGGTGCTTCTTTTGGACGCTCCTGTCTCATTCAGCTCTGAGTGGTGTTAATGGAGGAGAATGACAGGAGATACATAGCTACATATTCTAACTAAAAATGAACTTAAAACATCCAAATTATTAGTCGTTAACATCATTATAAAAAGCAAATGCTAAAATTCCCTCCAGTACAATGGAAATGTTTTCTTCCATCTTAAACTGTAGGCTGCAGCTTTAGGACACATCAGCACCCCTTTCAGTCGTTCCTCCACCCACCCAGCATGTAAAAGCACTTGACAGTGTAGTGTCTTTTTATGCAGTCTATGTAATAAATTTGATCCAGCCTGTTAACATTAAGATACAATTCTACTTTTAGAGGTTTGGAGCAGTTATTTCTTGCATTTAAAAAATCACTGTTTGTATGTTATTAAAGTACCATTTAGGTCTGCTCTGCTATGAAAAATGTGTTTGGTTAAAGAAACATTATTAAAGGCATCTATTTGGTTTTTTTTAGGCTTCATCAGTGGAGGAGAATCACCTTGATGAGGATGAGGAGGAGAATGATGATGATGATGATGATGATGATGATGAGAAAGAAGTGTCTGTTGTCTATGATTCAGAGGAGACCAAGCCATCTGTAGAGTGTTCTGATTTAACAGAAGAAAAAGAACAAGTACAAGAGTCTATTCCTGACACATGCCATGTGAAAAACGAAGATAAAATGTGCTCAGAACCTGTTCCTGCTGACTCATTCACTCATCTAGTAAAAGAGATTAATTCTAGTCTGGCAGATGAACAACCACAAATGACTATCGAAAATTCAACCATAATAAAACAAGAGCAAAGCAAACAAGAATTTTCAGACCCATCTGAAAGGGACGTCCGAGAAGGACATTTCAATATGTTTCCCACAGTTCAGCTCCAGGTTCCACATGAAAACCACATAGAAGATGAGAGACTGCTGGACATGCCGGATTATATTGCAAATTGCACCGTAAAGGTGGATCCATTGAGCTCAGAGGACCTGAAGAATCCTCTGGACAGCAACATTTTACAAAATGCACTAAAGCAGAATCCCAAAGTGTACTTAGTGCAAAGCCTGGATGTGCTGAAAGAGAAGGACAATTTATCATCATCAAGTGAAGAATCGTCATTCACCTACACACCTTTGTTGTATTCAAGGGGAAACCCAGGAATAATGTCCCCTTTGGCAAAAAAGAAGCTTTTATCCCAGGTTAGTGGGGCTGTGCAATCTGGAAGCTACCCATATGGCTCACCCCCACCCTTAATTAGCAAGAAGAAATTAAACTCTAAAACAGAAATATCTCCACCTTTAGTACAAACCCATTCAGCATCCAACTCTGAACCTATCCTTGTAAACAGACCATCAGTGATACAACATGTTCAAAGTTTTAAGCATAAAACTTCAGATGATAAAAAGAACTTGCTTGACCCTTACAAAATTAGTACCATAAACAAAGCTGACTCTTACCGCTCTGAATTTGCAAAGCACCAACAAAGTGTGCTTGCAGAGTCTTATTCCTTGAAGTCCAGTATGCTTGAACATAAAGAGCAGATGGCTGAGAAAAGAGCCGCACAACACTCCAGCTTCTTGGAATTCTACTCATCACCTCATCTGCACAGGCTTTACCGGCAAACAGAACACCATCTTCATAATGAACATCCGTCAAAATATCATTCTCGGGAATTGTATAGAGAATCCGAAAATATGTCCTCTCCCCATAAACATCAAGAGAAGCTTCATTACCATCATTCTTTGCACCAACAAGAAAAACAGAATGTACCTGATCACATGGATGACCAACCAACTGATTTGAGCCTTCCCAAATCTATGCACAAGCACACAGCCAAAATATCAGGATCTAACCTCTCTCATCAGTTGGTGCAGCAAGAAAGCAAAAGTCCATTTCATGTTCCAAACAACAAGCATATGGGAATAGACTGCAATCCAAAGGCCTGTAGAGTTTCACCAATGACAATACCAATATCAAAAAGACACCATGAGTCTGTTCACAGGTCAATAAAGACACACAGTGCAAGACATGACAATGTAAGAAAGATGGAAGGTCTTGTACATCCAATCACTGTTGGCAAAGTCAGTCCTCAGAACTTTGGGACCCTACGGCCATTGAAGAGAAGCTTAGATGATCTAGAAGGTCCCGTCAGTGAGAAAAAAATACGAGCCGTGTCCCCTTTAAACGTGACAAAGGAAATACCAGGGAAAGAGATCTTTACTGGCCAAGAGGGTGAAAGCAGCAAATCTATTCATGACATTCATTCTAGCAGTATGATGGAAAGTCACAAATATCCATTGTCAACTCCAATTTTTCCTGGACTTTACCCAGCAAGTTTATGTGGTGGTCTTGGCACACATATACCAACTGCCTACTCCCATCCACTGCAGTACTTGAAAAACCAGAGTGTGCTTTCACCACTAATGCAACCCTTAGCCCTTCATTCCTTGATGATGCAAAGACAATATCTAACTAACTCCACAAATTCTCAGCAGCTCTATAGACATTTGGCCTCAGCAGGCCCTGTAGGATCTTCATATGGTGACCTACTACACAACGGTATCTACCCTTTAACGGCAATCAATCCCCAGTCCTCTTTTCCTTCTTCCCAACTGTCCTCTGTCCACCCCAGCACAAAACTTTAAGCAACTATCCGGTGACAAAATAACAACAAAATGTCAATTCTTTTAGCTACATTCCTTGCCTAGCACAATACTCTGCATAAACACTTGTCTACTGTGTGAGCCACAATATAACCTTTAAACGTACTATGTTCAGAGGGGTAAGGATGGATTTCAGGTCCCACTTGACAGACTAGACTAGTACTTTCACAGTTTTTATAATGGGAACAGCTGAAGTTTGCACACCATTTTTAACATCATTATTCAGCATTGACCATCTCGTGTGTTGCACTCCTTTTGTGTAAGGTGGCTGAAAAGTTATTGGTTCAAATTATGGAGTACATGTACACCCTGGAGGATGCGCTTTTGCTTTGTTATTATTTTGTTTATTATTATTTTTTTTACTGTTAAAGGTTCAATCAATGCAATGTATAGTAACAAGTCAATCATTAAAAAAAAAAAAAAAATTCTTAACACTATAATGGCCGAAAGTAAACACTGTTCAATCGACTGTACATATCTGCTCTTTAAAAGTACCCATGTCTGTTCACCTAATTTATGTGAATTAATCTTTCAGTTGATTTATGTGCTTTTTTATCATTTTTTATTAAACAGATATGTGTTAACTGCAAGGTCATGTTGAGAGTATATGTTCAGGTTTTTAAGTTCGAAGGCCAGCAAACCTAAATTACAGGCACATTTATATTAAAACAAAAAACACACACACATTGTTACCATTTATGAATACTAATACAAATGCTCAATGAGTTTAACAGAATTAAACATAAGTGATATGAAGTTCTGATACTGTGATAAGGTTCTCCATGAGTAGTGGATGTATTAGAGTTTGAATTTTGGTAAGAGACAAAGGCAGACTGGTATGAGTAGTTGTTTTAAAGTGTGTGTAAAACCTAACAATGAGATTCTCATACTTGCTTTTGGTCTATTAAAGTGGCACTAAACTCAGGAGTTACATCTTAAAAATGAATTCAGGTGGCTTAACTATTAACAAAAATGTATCTTATTTGTGTATCACTCGGCTGTAGATCCTCAAATCATCTCTGAAATAATGCTGACACTGTCCTTCCTTTTGAAGGGTGGCCACTTTTGTTCCCCCATGGTCCCCGTGTGTGTTGTAAAGTAGTCAATGCTCCAAGCTCGCTCCCGGAATGGACTATAATCTCAATACGAATTAGTAAACTAAACATGTAGTCGATCACGGGAGTGAGCTTAGAGCGGTGGCTACTTTACAACACACACAGGGACCATGGAGAACAAAAGTAGCCACCCTCTAGAAGGAAGGACAGTGTCAGCACCAATTCAGAGATGATTTGAAGATCTACAGCCGAGTGATACACAATAACGTAAAGTCCATGAACCCATCGCACTCAGAAACCACCGTTTCCAAAAAAATAAGGGTGGGTACTGCGGTAGTCGATGGCTGGCAACCGTAGTAGATATCAAGTAGAATATGAAGAGACACCGGCACCCTAATAGTGACTCAAATAAGTCTGTTTATTGACGTATAAGTAGCATAAGTAGCACTAGATGACACTACTGAGGCATTATTATTGCTGTTAAACACTACCTTACTGAAAAAGCCTGATTATAAAGTTTCTTCTTTGAAGGGACTATATAGTGTTGTTCTTATATATTTTCTTTTTTTTTTTCAATACCATTTTTTTAAAATCGGGTACAAAATGAAATATATATATTTCATATTTTCATGTCTACAACTTTGTGGCCAGGGTATGGCATACACTCTTGGGAAAGTGACTTGAAAGAAGGGGCACATATCCTTTTGCTGGTAACATTCAGTTTACAATGGGTACTAATTTTTTTTTTACATGTGATAGTTTATATCTATTTTCAGTCGAAGTGGATGTGTTTAAAACTAAGTGCATAAATATCTGGGCATAGATCTTAAAGTGACATTAAACCCTCAGATTTTTTTAACATAAAACAATACTGTAATGTGTGCCTTACTGTAATCCATGGTTGTTTCCCTTCTCTTTCCTTCTCTTCCTTTTAAATCTGTATCTGTTCTCATGCTGGGCAGAACTTCTGTTTTGCAGCAGACTGCCTTGTCTCTGAAATGGATATATGGTGTCTGTGTGTAGGTTTGCAACCTGAGCCAGCACTACAGGAAGAGGCAGTCAGCTGCAAAGGGAAGTTCTCCCCCAGCATGAGAAGACATGAGGATTTAAAAGGAAGAGCAGCAAAGAGAAGGGAAACTACCATGGATTACAGTAAGGCACACATTACAGTATTGGTTTATGTTAAAAAATCTGAGGGTTAAATGTCACTTTAAGTTTACATTCGGACCTTTGATTATAACACTAATTTGTTCTAATTCTTCTTGTTAGTTCATAGTTCATATTTGCATATGGCAGATATCAGGTAGCAGTAGTAGTATAGGCATTCTCTCTTCTGCTAGCCCCCATTTAATGGTATTAAGTGCTAATATGACCCCTATATCGGCATTAAGATAGAAAGTGTTGCATACATTTCCCTCACTAACTGCTAACAATATAACAACAAAAATTGAATAAAAAAAAGGAAAAAAAGCTTAATGTGCATGTATGTACATACAGTATATAAAAATAGAATATATTTAGTTAGAATTACTGCTTTCGTACCTAAAGTACCTTTTATCCTGAAGCAGGAGTATACATGGCCAAAACTTTCCAGTCGCCATTTCTGAATCTGGAAACATTCCAGGACTGTCCAAAGAAAAAAAGCACCGACATCTTTGATTTCATCATACTAGCCAAACTGCCAAACTGCATAAACTGAGTCTGTGCAATGCCGTGGAGGTTAACAGGCCTTTGGCCCAATATGCCAATTCAATAGACCATAATACAAAAGAAATTAAGTTGATCAAGCTTTTTACAAGTATTGTGTGTGTGTATGTGTATGTGTATGTGTATATGTATATATATATATATATATAGTGGGGGCTATATATCTCTTCTTCAGGCTTCATACAATTCTAGGCATCCCAAAACCATGCGTCTTTAATAACCTATGTAAGCCAATAAAGCAACTTTTGGCATTGCTTCATATCTGCAACGCCGCTAATGTTCTTGATTATATCACTAGCTTTTATCCCCATATATCCCCATTTAGGCAATCCAGACATTGGTGAAACTCAAACAGCAAAATAGCTATGGAGGACAGAGCAGGGAGATGAAATACTCACTGCTGCTTGTATATGATACTCCCTTTACTGGTGAGATTTGCGACTTACATTCTGCAACATCTTCAGAAGCCAGGGATTGGCAACTTATTTATCCAGCTGGCAAGACAGTGACATGTACATAAGCAAATGAGTGTTCTCCCCACAATTTAACGATCCTGTCACTGGTGAGACAGTCTGCTTCTAGTATGAAATTTAACAGGTGTTAGATACAACAAGAAGTGAGGCAATATATCCCCACTTCCTGTCTATTTTATCAGGTTCACAAAACAAGTAGTAAGGATTAATACTCCAATTGCAAGAACAGGCAGCAATGAAAACAAATAGTCTAGTAGAGAAAGACAATTTAAAGCCTATGTCAAGATTTTATTGCTGTCCCAATGAAGGAGATTTTCTCTCAATTTCTGTCAAGGTGTCAACAGGAACAGAAGGGAAATCCCCTCTCTGGAGACACAGACAGCATTTAAAATCTGACAGAAAAATTCTCCTCAATGCGGAAAGGTATTTAAAATGGGATAGACTTTCTATCCCTTCACCCTTTTATCCAAAATGAAAGCAAAACGTTGGGCTTTAGCCTGCCCATATACCTTAATCAGGTCACATAAAAATGTCTCAGAGACTGGGTTCACACCTGGACGTTTTTCAGCGCTGATTGAAGCGCTGAAAAACGCTCAAAATAGTACTTGAGCTTCTTTGGGGCGGATTTCCACGTGTGTCCATTGGTATTTCCCGAGTGTGGCTCAGGGTTAACAAAGCCGCAACCCCGAGCCACACTTGGGAATACAGCGTAGGTCTTACCTTGTTTGCGATCCCCGTTGTGTCCTCTGGCCGCTGCCGTCTTCTGGGTTCCATCCCTTGCGAGTGTCCGCGTCGCAGGGGGGCGGAACCGGCGGGAAGTTTTTAAAGAAAAGGAAAAAAAATACAAATCATACCACCAGGGAGGTTAAAAAACTAGAGTCGAACGCACGTTTCATTGAACAAAAAAACGTGCTTAAAAATACGAGCATAAAACGCGCCTATAGGAACGCCCAGGTGTGAACCCAGCCTAAGTGTGCAGAGTAACCATGATGGTTTAATCTGACAGGGTGGTAAAGGTGGACTCTGACCAGTAGACATGTAAGCTGTGAAAAAATTTGGTTAGGATATTTGGTTATGTCAGGATTCGGATCCGAAACTCAATTTGGTTCAAGTTTCGGATTCGGACGAAATCCAAATTTTCGTTATTTTCGGATGATTTAACAAATATTTGTTGTGAATACCACAGAAAACCATATACAAATATTAATACTAAAACTGAATCTCCTAGACCCGAATGGCATTTGGGATCCGAATTTCCGAATGTCATTCAGGTCTGTGAGCCATATACAATATACATATATTACTAAAGCTGAGGCTCCCCAGACCCGAATGGCATTTGGAAATTCGGATCCCAAATCCCATCCGGGTCTGTGAGATTCAGCTTTAGTATTATGTGTATATACTGTATATGGCTCCCATGTTGCCGTAACGAAAATTCGTGTTCAGACTCATTCGGATGCATTAAACTGAAAAACACATCTGATTGGCCAGGAAAGTCACATGTTCTACAAGAAGAGTTTATGCAGATAATCTGCCCTTGTGTATTTTTACAGCAAAGTGGCTTGACATCGCTGGAGAGCTGTTGTTAAGGTGTTATAGGTGACATTTTCCTTTAGGAATATAATGATGAAACAAAAGGATTATGGGGTCTGACAGATACCATAGATGTAGCAATTAAATAAATTGGTTTTAGTAGGTTGTTTAAAAATAATAACTGCAAAAAAACAACAACCGAGCTGTACTCATTCTTAATAGAGATGTAAAACCCCTGGCCTAAGATGTAATATATAAAGCAGTTTGATTATCTTTCACAGTGGGCAGGCACATTCACCTGTGTACATATTAGAAACTGCCATGAAGTTATACTATAACGACTAATGTAAGTATTTCGGTATTACTGGTAAGAAATCATTCCCTCTGTTTTCACATATTTTTTTTTTTTCCGAACAATTTTTATTGGATGATCATGCATAGTATCAATAGCATAACAAAAGTAATCATATAAACATGTATAGCAATACAGAGTCCCACTGCGTCGTAAGGTAGGCATTAGCTTTACACAATATCTTGGCAGGTTTTAGAGGGCTCAGGTAAGGTCTTCTCGGCATCAGCGAGAATGGAGGAGTATCCGTGGTATTGGTTACAATCGTATCCACCTTTGAAAGCACTACCAT